TACGAACTACATTAGTGAATTCTTATGAGTTTTATTCCCTTAAGAAAAGTTTATTCAACGTAATAGCCAATGAAAAACATTGCCTTACTTTAATTCTAAGTGAAGCATGCGATCGCAATCTCAGTTGTTTAAAATGAATATAAAGGGGGAAAAAATTGGCCCATCATTATCATTAATTGTATGGTCCCTGAAACAGCTTTTTTCGATGTTTATTCCTAGTTCAGTGTTACGTTTTCTAATCATCTGTTATTAAAGACTCACGTGTTTTTCTGTAGCTGTTGTTTTATCTTCTAGAAGCTGTCTTGTTCGTTTTTCGGCATAAACTGCTAGGGATCTCAAATCGCTTACCAAACATTGATCCTAGCTCTTCGAGAGTTTTCAGAGAAAGGTCGTGAAGGGACTATTACCAAGGAATCTTATTATACAGCTTTCTCACAATCTCGCCTCTGATTGGCCGAGAGCTTTCAGCAAATCCCTGATATCGGGTGAGCTTGACATGATAAATGTATAGATCTGTAGGCTTTTTGCCGATAATACATTTATCATTTCAAGCTCACTAAATCAGTTAAGGTCAAAATGGAGATGAAATTACGTTTGCTATTATTTTTTTCAAAATCAAAATGAATTTTTAATAAATTAATAAGTGACCTCGGTTTTCGCATGATATCGTAAATTATCCGCCTCTGCCTATGGCAAATTACACGGCTTGGTTCTTGATAATTTACGATATCCAGACATGCTCAACCACATCCGATCCAGTTATACAGTTAACGTTAAAAGATAGTTTCCGAGCAACAGTGTATGTAGAATGTCCTGCATATGATTGACACATTGACGAGTAAGTGTACTGCGCATGCGAGAATAAACACCTTGACGAGTTTTGAACACTTGTGGACAGTGAAACTTTCCCAGAGAAAACAATAAAACTAATGAACGCTTATTTGCCGGTGGACGTCTTATGACAAACAAGTTTATAGTAGTGGCGCTATAATTTAGTTAAACATTAAAAAGAAGAAAAAAAGAAAATCTAGTTGCCATAGTAATTTTGTAATGTTGGGGGGAAAATTCCTAGTCGTTCATAAAAAGAACATTTACCTAAATTCGCCCCTTTCTTGCCGTTTCAGTGCGGTGCCATTTTTCTGGGCAGTTTGTTACCCACCCTCCCCCCTCCCCCCACGTCATTTTCATGTAAGCGTTTCATATTCATCAAATATATTGTTAGAATTAAATGATAAAAGAACTAAGTTTAGGTCATCTAATTTTGGTCTCTGTTTGTTGAAATTTTGCCAAAAATACACTACATTTAATAAAGCGCTCTCTTATCTATTTGATGTTTCGTTGTTTTTAATTATTTAAAATCCTCTTAATGTATTTATCATTGTGACACTTGTATCCATAATAAATAGTAACAATGAGATAGAGTTTACAAAAGAAAATGAATTTGTTTTTATTGCAACCAGACTCTAATAAGCCCGAGTAATTTGTTTTTATTGCAACCAGACTCTAATAAGCCCGAGTAANAATTTGTTTTTATTGCAACCAGACTCTAATAAGCCCGAGTAATTTGTTTTTATTGCAACCAGACTCTAATAAGCCCGAGTAAATTGTTTTTATTGCAACCAGACTCTAATAAGCCCGAGTAAATTGTTTGTTCCATTAAAATACACACACGCGCAGTCGATCATCTTATATTCTCAGTAAATTAAAGATCTCTGCCGGGCTAGAATTGTTATAATACTTTATGTATTACCGGCTGAATATTAAATGAGTTTTATGCACTAAAATGCATAGCAGAATATAGTCTTCAAAACATTCATTTCGTTTAATAATGACGCCATCTTAATACTATCTGTCTAAGATGATATACACCTATTTCAAAAAACGTCGGAGATCTGAAATGGGCGACCTGAAACTAAACGGAATTTTTGTACTTTTCAGTACATTTTCTGGCTAAAATATGTCGAAAAATCACATTTCTAACTTAAAGATGATGTTTCATTTTCCAATCTAAGCTAAAAGACATCTACGTTGTTCGGCTGTGAATATATATCGATTTGCAGCCCGGTCTCTGATTTCGGATCTACTGTATTACCCTTAAATGTAATAACACCCATAAATGTAATACTCACCATAAATGTAATAAAAATCAACCATAAATGTAATAATCAAAACCCACCATAAATGTAATTACCCCTCCAACCATAAATGTAATAACCAAGTACAAAGTGTTCAGTCAACAACCAACTCTGAGCACCATTGTTTGAGTGTTTCGTCAAACACAGTGGGTGGGGTCACATACACGTGATAGCCTATGTAAACAGCCGTTTTGCATACGGATGGAAGTGCAAGAAACGGCTGGTAATGCATCTCCGACCGACAACGTTAGTTGTATATAGACTGACTAAGCGATGAATGACCAATTAACAGTAGTTGTTTACTCGTAGTTTCAAATTTATGCGAGGTCAGCTAAAATAGTAACTAACTTATCTAATTTAGGTGACGTCAACTATTCAACAGACTGAATGCACTCTAGAATTTTCAAATATCTAGTTGACAACAAGCTTAACTTTACCCAAGAACGAAACTCCATGATTTGAAAGCTTTCTAAAAATAAGTGTATGAGAACTACATTCAATGATTACCTTGAAAGAGCCCGTATTTATGGTAGAAGGAACGGCAATGCTTGGGCCTGTGGGTCGGGTGTTTCAGATGGAATCGTCTAAGGCCGTCGTACACATGTGCGAAATCTTCAATTTTATCTTCATTAACTTGTATAACTCCTTTCATTCCACATTTTACATGGCCTTCAATTATTCTTGGTTTGGACAAGAGATGAAAAATTCTCGATACAACTGTTATCTTCTTTAAATATTCGTATCGGTTTGAAGAACGAATACATGAAGACGTTTTGATTTGTATCTCTGAAAATTCATAAACGCAACTGAAATGGTGCGAAACCATAGGTGTCGTCCAAATCCCTCGTGAAGGGTGCATATATATATACGAATGCTAAAACAATAAAAAGATGAAACAATATGAGCGCTGTATAAGCTCAACATCAAAACTATGTGTGAACATTTTTCAAATATATGTAGGCTTTGCAGCTGACTCATTGCATTAGACATGCAAATACTGAAGTGACGCTAGATAGCAAACAAATTTAGCACGTTAATACTGGAGAAAGGCTTTTCTCGGCTTAGAAGTACAAATCCTATGTCTACAGATATCCTCTCAGATCGAAATCTTTTTTTAGTTAAGCTTCTCTTTTAATTCTATTACTACTTTT